ATTAAAACCTGGCTTTCAGCATAAATAAAAATTTAATTTGGTGCTATGAGTGCTCTTGTTGCTAAAAAAAGCTTCAGTAAGAGAATGAGGAGAGCCAATATAAATAATGAAGCATTTCATCAATGACAACTTTAGCAAATCCCAGAAAGTTTGTTATATTCATGACAAAGTTGTATTCTTAATATTATTCATAATTAGCCTGGTTCATTACTAGCATAAATAAGCTCCCATTTTGAAGATCTTTAAGACTTTCTTGATGGGGAACTTCCCTTAAGTTTCAGGAGATCCATCAGGGAGTCAAATTCTATCTGAACACAGTGTTAAAAACACCATTGTTGAAAACCCAAAAATTAGAAGAACCAATGAATAGAATTTTTAAATGTCATTGCAATATAAAGGAAGTAAGGACATTTTTACCATATAAAGTAATTTTGCTTCTAAATCAAAATTATGCTGCAGCTATCATGTAACTCAATACAAGCAAATAACTTCAGAGGAAACAACAGAGCCCAGTGTTCCTGAGAATTTTTACACCTTTATGGAGTTCACTTTCCTGTAGTATTTAATTTGCAATGCTGTGTTAATTCTTACTTTCTAGCTAATGCTATAATGATAGTTTCTAACATGCTTTGAGTATCTATTAGGTTCTAAGCCCTTTATGTCTGTCATACTTATCACATTTAATTCATTTCATCTAACAGTTCTCAATTGGGGGCAATTTTTAGCCACTTGCTCAAGACACTGGACAATCTCTAGGGAGAGTGTCGGCTGTCCCAAAGTGGGGGGAAGGGTAGTCCTACCAGCCTACAGTGGGTAGAAGAGAGAGACAGTGCCGCATATTCTACAATGCGCAGGACAGACCTTCTCCCCATCAAAGAATTATTTAATCCCAAAAGTAAACAGTATCAGGATAGACAGACAAATCCATTCAACAATCCTATTTATTGGATATGATTAACATCTTCTTTAGAAAAGGGTAACTGACTCACAGAAAGATTGAATTACTCGTCTAAGATCACAGACCTAACTAAGTGGTGGTGCCAGGATTGAAAAACTAAGTTTTTATTGCCTTGAAGCCCAAGCGCTCTCCAGAACCCTTACTACTATCTCCAGAGAACCTTGGTGAACGTGAGCAGCTTCTAAGCTTGAAGGGTGGGGATACGGCTCTATTCTGTCTATCTGCCCTAGCTCCAGGGTCTCACTTGCTGAAAGACTAACAGCAACTGCTCCTCATGTGAACGTCTTCAGATTCCTGCTTTAGGATGACATGTCAGCTATTAGGTCAGTAACCCCAAGAGAAAATGGCGGTTTGATTACATATACTGCATGACAAAATAAAGGGTGAGCCACAGGGAAGGCAGAAGACGTTATTTCTGCCTCCAAGAAGGTTGCGGGGAGGAAGAGTTATATATGTGCATACACAGAGGTACATGTGCATGTGTGTTTATAAGAAGAATTGTCAGACCAGACATAATGCTGGAAGCTGTTAAAAGTAAACAATAAACTGACCTAATCATATGTGAAAACAGTTCTTTCTAGCCCCGAAGAGCGCAACACTTACTACTGCGATGTGGTTGCATCCTGGGTTGCCGTGGTGGCACACCCTGGGGGAGCCATGACTGCTCCTACCCTTCTAGCTTAGGTAAATGTACAAGCACCACCAGGCTGTGCACGTGAGAACTGACCAGGCCTCGCATTCCCTGGTTTGTAGAGCTTTTCTTCCATATGAGGTGGTGTTTTCATCCTCCTCTTACTTTCCCGGTTTTTGGAGCACTACTGATTGTTACCTACTTCACACAAATAAGGCTAACTCAGACATTCTGAGGAAAACACTAAAATTAAGTTGAATACGAAGGATAAGTATTCATCTTATGCCCGGTGAGTGAAGTACGACAGGAAGGTCTTCTTTTATCTCTCACAGATTGCGTTTACTTGGGTACATTAGTAGGTGCTAAATAAATGTTGGCCTCCTTTTCTCCTCTTTTTCTTCTTCCTTTTTCTCTTTCTTCAATTTCCTCTTGCTCCTCTCTTCTCCTCTCTCTGTCCTTTTCTTCCCCCCCCTTTTTTTTTACCTCTTTCCCTTTCTCTTCCTCTCTTCTCTTTAATATATCTTTAAATTGATGTCACGCATATGGCCACTCATTCTTCTATAACTAGAATCAGTTCTACCTAAAGCATTAAGAAGTTCTGTATGATAAGAATGTGCAGTTCTTAAGTGCTTTGGCTCAGGGAGCAAACTGTTTAGGTTTAAGCCCCAGTGTCCTCTGCTATCATTAACCCTGGAACTTTCTTGGGAGAATTAATCAGCTTTTTTGTGTCTGAAAATAAATCAGCTTTTTTAGGTTCTTCTGTAGTGTATGGATAATGAAGAAAGCGTTTTTCCACAAAGGTGTTTTAAGGACTGAAAAAGGCAAATCATGCTGTGTATCTGTCACGGTACCCAGTATATGATAAATGCCCAACAAACGTAACTACTACAATGTGGCTGTAAAGTGACGTGAGCTAGCATTGAGCTACCTAGCGAGCTGAGCTTCAGCGTTTCCATCACGTCCACCCTTGCCACGGCCTACCGAGTCCCTCTGAGAGCCGCATTTCGTCTTAGTCACTGGCCTTCAGCCATATTTGAGCAATTTTCTTGAGCGCACACCTCCATCCTACATTAGGTACACACCTACATGTGAATACCGAATGCCATTTCTTAATTATTTCACTGGGATACACCTGCTAACAGTGCTAAAGTTCTGAATTGCAGTCTTCTGACCAAAAAAATGTGGCTGTGATATTTTATGATAAAGAATCTAGAGTTTTCTTCTGGGCATGGTGGTGCGCACCTGTAATCCCGGTATTTGAGTTCGAGGCCAGCCTGAATTACATAGCAAGTCCCTGTCTCAACATATACCCCCAAAGACCCTAGAGTCTTCTTATAAATGTGTGAATATGTTTAAAATAGAATAACATTATACATCATTTATTAAGATATCTATAATCCCAGTGCTATTGCTGATTTCTGCTTTCCTGTCTCAATGTCAAATAGGTCTAGAAGTGTTTATTTCATGAGATTAAGGGGAGGCAAAAGACTGGGCTGGTGACGGTATATAAATACATGAAGGATGACTTTATTAGAAATAGAATTACATACAGATAGGAGTTGTGGTTTGGAATCAGAGCTGAGTTTGTATCTTAGCTCTGCCATTACAAGCATTGACTTAACGTCTCTTGTTTCCTTAAGTGAAAACTGGGTATAACAATGCATACTTTAAAAAGCAATGCATACCTACATGCTTGTCATAAGATTTATGTGAATGAGGCCTAGCAAATATTTAGAGCTTTTCACTACTTTATTAATCCTTTTCACAGGAATGAAACTAACCGACATTTGGAGTCTTGCGGTGTCACAAACCGTGGTCAGCTTCCATGTCTTTGGAGCTTAATCCATTTTTAAAATTAGGTCGGGGGCGTCCAGCCCCGAGCCCCAGCGTGCTTGTCAAGTGCCTGCCACAGAGCTATGCCTCCAGCCCACGAACTTAATTCTTAATCCCTCCATTGTCACATGCTTCTCACTGACGAAGAGGAACTGATCACCGATTTATTTCAAAATGTGTGTATTATATTTGATGGGTCACACTAGCAGCTGTAGAGCAAACAACAGTGTGGATGGAGGTGGAGAATGGATGGAATGAGTTCAATCACATACCTGGGAAAAGTCAATAGTGAAGACAGAGCCTCAATTTTTGTAACACTGGAGGGAAAAACCTGGGTAAGGATTTGATGCAATGAATCATGAGTTTGAAATGTGGGAGTTTTTCCTGGTGCAATTTGTGCAATTTGGTTTGCCTCTTTGTTTTTCTTTTTTTACTAGTCAGTTCAGGATAGCAAAATGTAGACCTTTCTAAAACCCACTTTAAGGTGAGGGGGAAAGCAGACACTAAAGCGCAAGGCCGAGCTATAAACACCTGCTGAGCACATTCCTGGACTGAAACGCACGTTCCCGTCTCCGTAGCATTATGAAATGCACGCTTTCTGTGTATTGTATTTGGGTGACCACAAGTCAACAATAAGGTGCGGCACGAGTAAACAACCTGCTCTGAGATGCCGAGGCGATAATCAGGCCCAAACTTTTACTTTTGTTTGAAATTTTCAATTCAAACTCAATATACACTTAGTTGCTTTTGCACAATAGAGTTGAAGAATTAAAGGACGGGCTCTTTAAAAGCCAGCAGCCTGGCACACAACCCTACTCCAGAAACTTGGAACCAGGCGCTCTGCCTGGGAAAACCTAAGCGCCCCAGGGCGCGGAGCACAGCCCTGTCAGGTCGAAGCGAACGAGTTACCTTCCCTTCAAAGACAGCTTGGATTGTTTTCGCTGTATCAGTCCAGGCGTTTTGCCGCCCGAGACTAAGAAATCTATAGGAGGGCGGGTTAGTTTACACACTGTCCACTTGTCACTGCCTCTAAGACACACAAAAGCCTCTTGAAATAACACAGGCCGGCCTGAAACGCTTAAAGCGGACAGCTCGTGGCGGGTAAGTGCCCCAGCTCCCTCCTCGCACCTCCCTGGGCTGTTACAAAGCGCGTTTGCGAAGGAGTCCGCGCCGCGCTCGGGTCCCGCCTGGGGCTGCGGTCGAGCGCAGGGAAGCCCCGGGGGCCGGGGGGCGCGGCCGCGGAACCTTCTGGCTCCGTAAAGCTGTATTCCGATGGAGGGGAAGCGTGTTTTCGTCTCCTTAAAAACGTGCGCCTTGCCAACGGGGCGCGAACCCGGTTAGGGTCGCGGGAAGGGCGGGAGCAGGGGGAGGAAGGCTCGGAGCGGTGCCCACCTGCGCGCCGCGCGCACCGCAGCAGGCTGCGAGGCCGAGGCAGGAAGGCCGGAAGGAGGAAGGGAGCGCGGCGGGGTGGGGGCGCCGCGGCAGACCTGGCCCGGAGGCGGGGAGGCGCGGAGGCGCGGCGAGGCGTGCGGGATGGGCGGGTGGCGGCCGCTGGGAGCAAGTGACATCACAGCGGGTCAGAGAAAAAGGGGCGAGCGGCAGGCGCGGGCGCACTGGGGCGCCCGGCATCAGCAGCAGAAGCCCGGCCCGCGCCGCAGGCCCGAGAGACCATGCAGAGGTCGCCTCTAGAGAAGGCCAGCGTCGTCTCCAAACTTTTCTTCAGGTGAGAGCCCCGCAGTGCACCTTCGGAAGCACACGTGCCCGGGAAGAGGGAGTGCGCGGGGCAGAGCCGGGGGCACGCTGGGTCTTGCTCTGCTCTGGTTCCCAGAGGTGCACTGTCACTCATGGTTTTGAAAGAAAATGCAGACTTGGTGAGATAAAGTGGCATTAAAATTAGAAAAGAAGCAAAAACTGAAGCTAATTTTTGCAGAGAGAGCAAAACCTACTGTGACTGAGTCAGACTCCCAAGACCCACACAGGCTACGGTGCAACTGATTCCGCTGATTTTTTTGTTTTTCTGAGAAACTTGTACATTGTGAAGTTGTTAATAACAGATTCTTTAGTTTGGCCCTCCCCGCCTTGCATGACTCAGAAACTGGTCTTTTTGGCATAGGTATTACAAATCTCACTCCTGCATGTAGTAGGTGCTCACAAAACATTTATTGACTGAATTTTGAAAGCAAAAGTGCAGAAGAAGAGGTAGAAATTATATGCATAACGTTTTTATTGTGATACCAAGTAAATCTAACAAGTGTTTGCCGCAATTCCATTACTCTTCTTTTTAAGAAGGAAAACAAATCTAATGAAACATTTAACTTAGGAAAGCGCAAAAACTGTGAGTTATGCATGTAAAATGGAAGCCAACGTTATCATGGAAATGTGAAGCAATGGGTACAGGTACTGAAGTTATATCCAAATAACGTTTAGTAAATTGTATTCTTATCTCATTTTGCATGTGATGATCCATAAAAGCTAGCAAACTTCATCTAATGAGATTTTTAAAAGTAGCTTAATTTGGAGTCTTAGGCAAAGTGTGGTTAAATGTAGCCTTCACCTTTGGAGTGTTCTTTGGATACTGTATCTACTTTGTTACTGCTATTGTGTTTGTGCAGAGGAATGAATAGGCGCAGCTCTCGTGGGACCTTACTTGACTCACAATCCTCCAATGAATCAGCCGCTAAAGTACCAGAAAAGTCAAATGAATTATAAATATGCCCGTGTATGCATGAGCTTGGGGAAGGGGCTTCATCTTTCCCATCTTTCTAATGTTCCATTCTGTGCATGCTCAGCAAGCCTGGAATCCAGGTGCTCACACAGAGGCCTTTGGTCATTGAAAGGGAGCTCCTCACTGTGGACAGGAGAGGGACTTTACTCTTTGGAATCCCTGTACATTAACATTTATAGACCCTTTTGCTAATTAATCTATAAAACTGACCTATCTGTTCATCTGTTTTCCTGCTACTTATAAAATAAGAACGTTAACTGGCATAAATTATAGAATTTTTGTTAGAACATTTTGAGGAATCCAAATGCCAATCCATCTAAAAATACAGTTTCCAGGAGAATGAATATTTTATGGTTACTTCTAAGTACTAAGGAACTTCAAAATTGCTCATCTGCCAAAATGTTTTTTAAATTTTCTTTTTAAAAGATCACCTACCATAGTTTAGTATAATTTTTAAAAATGCTCATAGATTGATTTGAAAAGAAAATGTAATTTTAATAGCTACTAAATTTTTAAGAGCATACTCATTTCTGCTCTTTAAACTACTTCATAATAAGTTGCTCTAAGAATAAGTGTGTTTTTAAAAGTTAAATTCCTGCTATTTATAGGAACTGACAATCACCTAAAGTACCAATGATTACAAACTTTCTTCTGGACTATAATTCTAAACTGGTAAAAACTTATTTTCTGCACTGGGCTCGGTAATATTACTTAGTGGTCACAGGTGGTAGGCTTGGGGCTCATAATGTTTTGACTCAAATTCCAGATCTACCACTTAGTAGCTGAGTGACTTGAGTCCCTCTGCATCTCTGTGTGACGTGACCTTAAAACTCTGAGACTGAGATGGAACTTTCACGGAGGGGTTCATGTGCAGAGAAAATGTATATCCAGTGTTTAACCCTGTCAATGTTAGCTCTGTTATACTTACTATCCTTAACTGACACATTTTTACATCCTTTACATTACTATGGGCTTTGTTTGCACAAGATGATCAATTCCTCTCTGTTGAGTATAATTTTGGGATTATCCATCTGTATATACAATAAATGGGCCTATTTGAGATTTTAAAGAAAGTCTCCATTAACATGTCCTTACCAGATACGTAATATAGAAAGTCATGTGCTTGTGTCATATCTTCTTAAATGCCCTCAAACTTAACTTTCTGAATATAATCTCTCAATTTTATAGTCACAGAAGAGTAAAACTGTTCCGGTCTGGGTTGTGGAGTCTATTAAGTATCACTTTAATTATCTAGGTTTTGTGGTTGGAAAATCAAAAAGTCTGGGAAAAATATCTAAGTACTTTCTTAATTTTGCAAGGGTTTCATATCAAGTAAAAAATTTCAAATGTATTGGAACTGTCTTAATGAGCACTATAAAGAGTTTCATCATAAAGCTTCAAATTATTTATGAATATCATGGAAAATAAGTATAATAAGTTGAAGCTCTGATGAAAACATTTGTGAAATAACTTCTCTTTTGTTCCTGGGCTTGAACCCAGGTCCTTCACACTGAGCTACACTCTCATCACTCTTTAAATTTAATTTAATTTTAAAACGGGTCTCTGTAAATTGGCCAGGTTAGGCACAAACTTGCGATCCTCCTGCCTCATCCTCCTAGAGTAATGAGATTATAGGCACATGCCACCACACCTGACTGAAATAAGATATGTTAAATCTAGAGGTGATAAACTTGCATGATTCATATACAAGTGAGACTGATTTATAAATATTTACCAACAGTGGTTAAACTTCTTATTCTTGGCAATATTTCAACTTTACATTTTCTCATAGCTTTTAATACATTCAGTTTCTTTTTCCCTGTCTTTTTTCTGTCTCTTGTTTCCCCAAATTTCTCATATTCTGTTTAGTTGTTAGATTATGGATTACACCATGTGGATAGTACAAACTGAATTTTCATCATGGTGTCCGTTCTGGAAGTCTTGCTCTACACTCAAGGAGGGGAGCCCCACGGAAACCCAATGTTGTGTAGCATACATCTCTTAAAAGACTGAGTACAGGGTCTTCCCATAAGCTCCGAAGTCAAATCTCAAGTCAGACAAAAGAGTGAAATATATTAGGATTTAGGGTGGGCATTCACAAAAAATTAAGTATTGCAAGTCTCAGGTTAATAGTAAGATCATGTACAGTACTTTTGTAATTACCAGAGGCAGAGTAATGAGAAAATGTTGAACATATAACACTAAGATTTATGTGACATTTTGAGCCACTAGAATAGGAGTGGTAGCTTAAAATATCTACCAGTGAAAACCACATTTCTCTTCTAAGCATTTTGCCTTTGATCAGAATATTTAGACAAGGCCCAGTGGTCCATGCCTGTAATACCAGCTCCTTGGGAGGCTGAGGCAGGAAGATTGCAAGTTCAAGACTAGCGTGGGCAATTTAGGGAGACCCTGTCTCTAAATAAAAGAGCTGGGGATGTAGCTGAGTCTTAAAGTGCCCCTGAGTTTGATCTGCAGTGGTGGAAACAACCAAACATAATTGGATCTCCTACGATGGTCTTATCTTTACAAATATATACATTTCCTTTCCTACATATGTATCATCCTCACTTCATTAGCATTCATCATCTTGTGTTAGAATAAGAATCACATTACTCAGACTGATCACTTGGAATTCCTCCTAAATGACTTTTGACTATTTGTCAAAATAAAAATTTTCTTCATCATTTACTTTAACAGCCAAGTGTTACCTAACTTTAGGTATTGTCCTTCAGAAAATGCATTACAAAGTTTAAATATGATTCTTACTGAAGAAAAACAGAAGTGCTTTGAGCAACTGAAACATAATTATATAAGAATATAATAAAAGATTCATAAACAGGGTAATTTTGAAGAGAACCAAATTCATAAGTGACATAGAGGCATAGCATTAAAAACAATCCATCACAGTTTCCTTATAGTGACATTTCATTGACATGTTCAGCATGAAGAAAGCTAAAAGTTATGGTTGAGCCATAAGTATTGTTGCAATTTATTGGGAATGTTCATAAAAACATTGCCACAGGAAACCAGAGTTTTGAGGTCTCTTCTCTACATGATATGACTAATATATATATATGCTTATCTATGCGTATAATATTTTACAATTAAGTTTATTTTAACTAATTTTTTGTTTTAAAAATTCTTCTTTAGTTTTGAAGTGTATCCCAATGAATTTTCTTACGTGCTTGCATCATATAGTATGTGTTACAGTTTTAATATTCAGTTCCTTCCTAAAGAGAGCATTGGAATCTGTTTTTCTTAACTGGTTCATCAATATTTTGTGTTTGATGTGGCAATTAAAATATTCCTCAGAGCCTACTATACACAAGGGAAATCATGGCTTTCTAGCTTTCTGCTGTGTTTTATGGGAGGAAGTAGGATGTAGTGTCATAATAATACATAAATGTTGGAACTTGTTTGAGGTCCTTGAATGAACACTGCTATAAAATATATTATTATTGTAGTGTCCTTTCACAAGAACCTATAATTTCAGTATGATAGAGCTATAAGTATAGGATTGCCAAACCATCAGGGAACGGTGTTAACCATTTAGCATGCAGTTATGTGTTGTTTGTCAAAACTTTAAAAACACCTCTGACTCAGCAGCAATTTTGACCATTTTGATTCCTGACGCATCTTGTGTAGGGCATTTGCCTGGAGCAAAATCGCAGAGATGCAATGGGTCAAGAGGGGAAACCAGACCCTGATAAAAACAGTCAAATAGTCTGGGGACATGAACAGAGGATTGCTTTTTAAATATGTCAGTTACATTATCACAGAGCAGAGCATTACTATTTCAGTTGCTTCTCTTCAGCTCCTAGGAATGAATGTACCCTGTGGTTGTTTCAGTTTGAAATTAGCATTACAAGGTGGTTTTGCATAGAGCTCAGCAAAGAGCTTGAGCGAAGCCTGTAAAAATTTAATTTACTATTACATTGCTTGGTATAGACAATTACATTCCTGTAGAAGTCTGGAAAGGTCTGATTTCCACAGTT